TCTCATCTCTGACATATAAAAGCTTAAATGTTATAGTATGTTCTCATCAATTTCTTTGTTTCACTTACTATGAAAACTCATATAAACTAGAACATAGTAAAACTGTCACTTTGGTGTTGAAGCAAAGGTTTTAATTTCTGATACTGTTACAAAGAATCCTATCGGACCAATAGGTATTAGTTGGAAAGAAAAAAATTAAAAGTATTGCTTACCATGTTGATACAGTCCGTATACTGGTGATATTGTTTGCTCATTTTAAATTAGGCAACCATCGTGCATGTTTCACTAATATTTGACATGATCATAACTTGATATGAGTATCTTCCATCAGAGCCTTAATTTCATCTTTCAACTCTCCATGAAATTACCTTCCATCTATCAGCTGTAGAGCCAAATCAAGTAAATGCTAGTGGCAAAATTAGTATCAATCACTCTTTAAAAGGGCTGCTAGTGCACAGGACTCTCTTCAATTTGGGGTCTAGAGAGGTATCAATGTACATAGCCCATACCAGCTCAACTCTGGCCACCTATATCACCAATAAGCAACCTTACAATGAACTACTAAGATGCTGCAACCTGTCCTCTTACTTCCTTCCACTTGCACATTGACTTGATTTCTTCCCTATTTTCGTCATGTTTGTTTTCATCACTACTACAACATGGGTAAAAAGGCATTTAAGTAGCAGTGACCAAAAACAAAAAAGCAGGAATTATATAAGCAATAAACCAATACATATAAGAGATCTTATATAAGTGAAAAAATAAATCACAAATACCTGCATGCTAGGATGCACACGTAGACCCACTGAAGAAAAGTGGCTGTGCATATTCTGAATAAGATTGTTCATTGTTCTCAATCCCTCAATACTTTTGCTGAATTTTTCAGCCATTCTGGAAAATAGACTCTCATCCTTTATGAACATTTCTAAATATCCAAGTTGATTATTTAGCTCAGCTGAATGGTTCTCTATAATTTCACGAGTTCCTGCCAACTCCTCCCGGCATTGAATTAATTTGGCATTCAAGTCAATGATCTCCTGTTTGCTTTTGGCCTCCAATTCATTCATGTCAGTATTTAGTCGAACAATATCCTTTTCTGCTTCTTGTAATGCATCTTCAAGTGACTTTATAGTGGCATAGGCCTCTGATAACTTACTAGCATGTGAAGAACTCTCCTCCTTGAGCTTCTCAAACTCATGCTCAATAGAAATCTTGCCAAGTTGGATGACATTCTTTTCTTCAACAGTAAAAGAAATATGTTTTTCTGCCTTGGACAATTCATCCTCTAATGATTTAATAGTTGCAAAGGCATCTGATAACCTGCTAGCCTGTAAGCTAGCTTCATCTTTTGCTTTATGAAGCTCTTCTAATGCATTACTTTTTGCCACTTCTGTTTGTTGAATGTACTCAGCAATCCAATTAACCTTTTCTAAGGGCCCTTCAAGGACCTCAACACTAGGAACAACAATTTTTCCTATAGAACTAACTAAATTATTTAATATGGTGCCTCTCTCATGCAAAATTTGTTGGCTTTGCTCTCTTTCATCCTTCAATAAGACTATATCTGCCTCTAGCTTCTCAATGTGCTCAACTTTAGCTGACAAATTTTTTATCTTCTCTTGGTACTCGTTGATAGTAGAATCTTTTAGCTGCAGCTCATGTGTTCGGTTTTCAATTTCAATTTCTTTCTCTTGTACAGAGAGTTTTAAGTGGTCACGTTCTTGCATTAAACCCTTTCCTTTCTTCACAGCCATGGATAGCTTCTCTCTAAGCAGAGAATTTTTCTCCTCAACTAGATCTAGCTGTTTCTGTATGGAGTCCTTCTCATTTTTTAAAACAAATGCTTCATTTGACAATTTTGTCAGCTCATCTGATAGTTTCACCATGGCAGATCTGTCAATCATCTCATCCTCAAGAATCCCCTCACACAATTTCAATTCCTGAGCTGTTAAATATAGTGTGCTCAACATCCTTTCATACCGTTCAATTTCAGCAAGAGATGACTTCATCTTTTCACTGACCATAATCATGCATTTCTCCGCTATAGAACTTGTATCCACAGAAATATGGTCATCCAATGTGCTTTCAGATAATTCCAACAATACTTTCATCAACTGATCTTTATCAGAAGAAAGTGTAGACAGTTTTTGAACCATCTCCTCATATTTGCATTTCAAATCTTCATGTTCATTATGAAGAATTTCTTTTGCTGACTTTTCTTCCAGAAGATATGAATCCAGGCAAGCAATTTCCTTATGTGCCTCTGACATTTCTGTTTCGTGTGACACCATAGCAAGCTGGAAGCCACTAATTTGATCCCGCAGCTTACTGTTATCATCTTTAGCATGCGTGAATGCAGTCAAAAGCCAATTAATTTGATAATCTAATTCCCTGGGTGAAACATCTTCTGGTAATTCAATGGAAGATATGGCATCTCTGATTTTCTTATTTTCCAGAATTATTATATCTGCAGCATTCTTTTGGTTAACAAACCACCTTACCCTATCAATTGTCTCCATGGAAAGCACTTCTTGTGGGGAATTTGTCACCAACATAATTTCTTCAATTTCTTGAAGAAACTTATCCCTTTGCGAAAGTGACTCTTGAAGAGCGCTAACTAAGTTATTGGTTGCATTCAAATCCTCAATGATCACCTTAGCGGTCTCAAATTCATCAGTTTTATGTTGCAACTCCTCCAAGCACTTCTCAAGCTCACTTGTCCTCTCATACAGTAACTGTTTCAGCTCCTCAAGGCTGACTTCAGTAGCTTGTAGAGCCTCAGACTTCTGTTGCAACTCCTGCATGCATTTCTCCAGCTCACCTGTCTTTTCTGCCAAGGACTGTTTCAATGAATCACGATGTTGAACCAATGATTTTCCCTTTGTCACTGCAATACTTAGCTTTTCTCTGGTAGCCACCAACTTGTTCTCTGACTGTTCAAGCTCTGCCTTTGTCTTGTTTTTCTCCACTTCTGCTGCTTCTAGACTCTCTTTCATTCTCTCAAGCTGTTCAACGAGTCTCCTATTTTCTTCCTCCAATCTATTCATTTCCTCGTGAAGATAGCCCTCCTTCGTCTTGCTTTCAAACAACTTCTCACGAGCAAAACTGAAAATATTACCCAATTCATTTTCTTCTGAGGCTGTGAATGCAGGTCCAACCTCTGCTAAGCACTGCTGAAGTAGATGGATCTCTGATAAGAACTGGGAATGTTTTTCTGTCAACATTAATGTTTTCTGCTCAACAAGAGAGATGTCATCAGTAGGAGAATCTTTAATGGGCACGTGTGCTTCCCCAACCACTGATTCAAGGGAAGAGAGTAACCTTCTGGTAAGAAGGTTAGTTGAGTCCTCCATAGACTTTGACCATGTTTTGTGAAGTGAGCCCAAGTAGGAAAAAATGACATCATGAGAAACAGAAGATTCTGAGGCCTTGACATTGAGATCCTCGATTTCTTGGTCTTTTTCATTTAGAACAGCACGAAGCTCCCTCATTATACCATCAGAATTTATCCTCTCATCTAAAGTGGATTCCAAATCAACTAAGAATTGGGAACATTCATTCAACATCAAGTACAACGGTGTGGGTGATGACAATGCCCTATCCTCACCCCCACTTGTTTTAAGCTGAGGGAGACTAACTGACTCATCATTTTTGGCAGCAGCAAGTAAAGAATGACGATCAAAGATGTCCTGAAGTCTTCGCCAAAGGCTGACAACTTCCTTTTCAAAAACCTCTCTTTCATCCTGAATCAAGAATTCAACTTTCAGTTTCCACTTCATAGAAATTCATCGAAAGAAACTAAGATCGAAAGAAGAACATAACCTTGTACTTCTGGCATTCAGCAACAACGTCCTCTAGCCGAGCCTGAAACCTGGTAAGTTCGTTGGTGCCCAATCTCCCAGTAGAGCTCTCCCCGATGTCAATCACCGCCATCGACTCCTCCAGCCGGAGGCTCCGCGCGACCGCCACGCCTAGTTGATCCGGCGCATCCTCAAAAGTATCCTCCCTCCCCGAGTCGTCCGTGGACTCCTGCATCGACCCGTCGATATTTACCAGGATGCCACTGTCGGGTTCCCCTGGCGACCCCCTGGAATCCTGCGCCGCAAACCCTTGAGAACGCAATCACGCGATCCAAAACCACCACAATCAAGAAAAGATCCCAACTTTCAGCCTCCAAAAGACACAAATGACCATCCGAATCGAGTACCTGATCCCGGTTCCCGGGGAGATCCACGAGCACGCCGTCGCTGCTGCCGCCCTCGTCGGAGGACTGCTGGGCGTTGCTGGGAGACCCGGGATCGGCGAAGCGCCGCGAGCCCCCGGCACGGCGGATGGGCTTCACCTCCTCGCTGCCGGAGCTCGAGTCCCCGCTAAACGACTTGGGGGAGGAGTCGGAGTCCGAGCGGTCCGGCATTACTCACAGATCAAGAATCCTCGCCAAGCAATCGAGAGGAGCGGCCAAACCCAGAAGAAAAAGATAGAAGATCCAGAATCAATTGGAGAGTTCAAAAGAAGCAGTAGATCCACGGGACTCGATGAATTCAACACAAATTGAAACCCCGAAGGAATCGGGATCTGGGGAATGGAAGAGCAGAAGCCGCCCAAACGGACGGAGAGATATTGGAGACGTAACGATGAAACGTTACACCGAATCCGGAGAGAAGTCGGGGAGGGGGATACGAAGAAGAGGGGCGAGGGTGCGATGTGGTATGTCTACGTATAGTCGTTAAAGCCCCGGACCCACCTGTGGGACAACCCGGTGCCAGCAATCACAGGGCAGGTAGCCGGCTGGGTGCACGTCGACAGCGAAAGACTTCTTTAACAGAGCAGGAGGTAGGACGAGACCACGAACACCACTTCAAACTTTACAGGAGGAAGCATCAAAAGAACTCCATATAGCAAGACAACATGATCTGCAGATTTGCTAATTTGCCTGATGCTTTTTCAGTCATTGCAGGGGAATTGAGATGAGATTTGCAACACTGATAAGGCCAAAAACATATGCAACATGGCTTTAATTACCCAAACAGATCAACAATCCAAGAGTCATACAAGTTGCAGCTACCATTGTTCACCATCTATCTGCAAATAGAATTTGTCGAATAGTATGGTTTCTTCAGCAGCCTTTCAAATGGTTTGCAATAAATAAAGCATTAACAGCAACCGATCGATGGTTTATTGAGATTCCATCTTCTGACAAGGAAAAAGAACTGTGATACTAGGCCATTCTTTTGGATGAGATTACAAGCATAGCCGGTGCCATTCCGAGTGATGAGCCTTTCTCTGTGAAGCCTATGACTTTGAAACGAATGTAGACTCGGCAAGATCAATGGCACGAGCAAGAGCTGCAGCTTTGTTCTCACATTCTCGCTGCTCATCATCGGGGTTGCTGTCCGCCACAATGCCGGCTCCAGCTTGAAGGTGCGCAACCCATTCTTGGCGCCTGCCCATGTCCTTGTATGAATACATGGTGTTGAATCGGCTTCCAGTTGGAAAGACTATGGTACGGAGGGCTAGCGCGATATCCATGTTGCCGGTAAATGAAACCCCTCCAAAGCCGCCACTGTACGGCCCCCTTCTTGTGACTTCCAGCTGATCAATTAACTCCATCGCTTTTACCTAATCCAAAGCAAATCAATATTAGGAGTAGGACACAACAAAGAGATGAGTGAGGACCAATTACAAAAAAAACAGATGCTTTTGTGACTTAGGTCTCACTTTCATTATGATCGTAATGTAATGTAGCAAAAAGTTTCTTTGCGACATTCTTGTATCAGATGTCCAATAATCAAGAAATAGTAATTACAACAACAAGGACCATATGATCACTTTATTTCTACAGTATCTCATATTAGATGGCAGCAACTAACCACAAGTAATCAAATTCCTAGTTGGTAAAAGGAGCCACATATCAAATTAGTTACATGATTAAGCAACAAGCAAAATTAGAGAGAAAAGGAATGCCCGAAATGCTGGCATGCATGTTCATGTGCTATAGAGAATCAAGATAATAAAGAAAGAAAATACAATTTGGAAATGAAGGTCTATGGGGCACAGAGACCAATGAGAAGGCCTTAAATGGTGGTACTAGGTATTAGCAATAGGTCAGTTTCGACAATAATGAGGATAAGGTTCTGAATCTTCTGATTGAGGAAATTCGGCAACAAAGAAGCACAATTCCAAGCAATCTCTATGAGATTGCTTCATCTGAACAGACCTATTTCATATTTAACACAACAAGGATGCAACTTACTTGGAATAGAATTTAAAATAGTGAAAAGATTTACCCAAAGGTCTTGACAGGCATACACATTAACTTATCAATGCAGGTACTATATTTCCATGAGCAAGCCAAACTGAAGATAATGCATTCCAGATAAGTAAAATGTTGAATGGAACCTTTGGAGCTCCGCTGACTGTTCCTACAGGCAAAGCAGCACGGAGAGCATCCCAGCAAGTGAGATGATCAAACAACTCTCCAGTAACCTGTAAAAGTATATGATGTCAACTCGCTTCCTAAAAACATAGATGATAAGAAAGTGCTTATAGATATGTAAGTTCCATAAAACATGGTAAGTCCTGATCCTTAATAATCAGAAACAGGATTGGTTAAGTCCTGATCCTTAATAATCAAATAAGTCAGAAACAAAAAGAAATAAGAAATGACCGTTGCAGGCTTGATTAAAAGCAGTAGTAATAATAAGACTACTAGCTACCCTAGTGGCATGCTCACTATGTTATTTCAAAATAATAACAAAGTCAATGACATCAAATGTAGATGATCTAAACTTTGATGAAATTCAGGTGCCAAAATATGACCATCCATGGCAACTGTTAAAAAAAGGTTTCATGTTCATGTTTAATGGAACAGACCTATTTAGATGATAGCTTTTGACTATAGCATTTTGTCAAAAATAAAAAATCATAAAAGCCCAGCATGGTTAAATTAGACAAAAACCAATCATCTTATTTGAAAATTGTAAGGACTCACTGTGGAGCTGATGTGCATCACATGCGAGTATCTCTCAATATTCATAAGTTTCTCCACCTTTACTGATCCAGGTTTTGATACCTGTCATCATAAACATGTCAAACGATAACAAATTAGGGGAATGAAACAAACTCATGCAACAGAAATAAAGGCCAACAAGTTTTGCAATGGATGTGCCAATAATAAGTACTGTGATATTTCTTAATGCATAAGTTAAACAAGTAGCATCTATATAACCTTGATAATGATTTTTTGGAACTGAATGACTTAAAGGAAAGGGGGGATACACTATGCTTATAGCCATAATCCCTAATATGGTATGAATTATAAAATCACCAACTATCATAAACAGCTATCCTATGAATTATCTAACTCTTATTGCTTGTCTAAAGTCTCCTCATCCATATTAAAAGCTCATCATATATCAAAGGTGAAGACATTACAGAATATATCACCATAAAGAAGGTTGCAAACAACAAAATTAACTTGATGAAGGGACAAGTTTCAAAAAACAGTGAGCCAATCTCAATATGCTCGTCCATCTATTAAGGAACATTAACCATCACTCCTGTTACTGTAGTTATGAAAAAAACATGAAATGTAGGAAAACCTTACACCCTGCCTTGACAGCAGAATGCCATTAGAGATATCTCAATTGTGCAATATTGAGATTATATGAAAACCTTACACCCTGTTCTTCTTTTGCAGAAGTATCTTTTGCATACTTCTGCAAAAGAAGTTTATATTAAACCATATTTTTTGCAGTTTTGCAAAACATAAGAACAATAGTCTTAAATTAAAAAAAACATGTTAAGCACGTATAAAGAAATCAAGACAAACCCTTCCAACATCATTCCGTCCCAAATCTACAAGCATAATGTGCTCAGCACATTGTTTTTCATCATTAAGTAGCTGTTGTTCATTCAATTTATCCTCCTCATCCATTCTTCCCCTTTTAACTGTCCCAGCAAGAGGTCGATTAATGATTGTCCCCTGCGAACAAGAGGAAACTTCAGTCTGCATATGACAAAAGATCATTGTCTTTCACATCATAAAAGTATCTGAGAAGAACATTCATAATCTGAATGTACAAAAAGTTTAACAAGAATATCCAAATGTTTGAGCATCCACAAAAACTAAGCATAAATTTTGATGTTACAAGTTTTTCATTATATAGCGCAGGATGAAGATAAGAGTCTTGACTGTGAAAAATATAAGTTCCTCCAATTGTGGGTGCAGAATTAATAGCTCAAGGGCAATACTGCATCTCAGAATTGAAAACATATGGATTAGCATAAGAAGGCAGCAATGGAACAGACATCCAATTAGATGTATCAAACCAAAAAGGAGTAAAGAAAAGATATAATTCCATTCTTATAGAAATTGCATATCTATATGTCAGTATAAATGTTTTTATTTGTTACTGAACCTTAAACCAACTTCAGGAGATTAAAAATATGTTTAGTCATCCAGCATTGATATTTACCAAGATATAAGTATCCAAAAAGCCAGTGCCGTAAGCATTGGCGTGATGAGTCAGATGCCATGAGTAACAGAAAGGAATAGTGTAAGATACAACTGCAATCATTAAAGATTATAAGTAGTACCTAACTACCTATTACTATTGAATGATAGAAAATCAACTAAGTTATGTTGGGCTTCATCCAAAATTGATCTATAGTCAAAATTATTCACAACAAAAAAGATCAAGGGAGATCAAAGAAATGGTTTGTCATCGTGATTTCAATAGTCATGATAAAATAGGTCAAGGAAAAAATTTATTGCCTTTGAATTATTTACTGGCATTAACCTCAGTAGAGCTTAATGATGAGAGAGGATCCATTCAATTCCAAAAGTTGGAAACAATGACCTTTTCATAGTAATAACTCAGATAATCCAATTGATGCACTCTCTACAGGCAACTTAGCAAGTAAACTAAGCACGACTTTTGAATTTCCTTGTCCTCCAATCAAATTAGTTGTTTCATTGTACCATTGAACATATTGCTACCATGAATTGCACCAGCTATGTCTTGGAAAGGAACAGGATTTTGATTAGCACACACAACTCCTGATAGATAAAGGACATATCCCGTAAATGAGGCTCCCAAAAATATAAGGTCTAGGGAGGATCAATATAAACAGTCTTCCGAATCCCAAAAAATAAATAGGTTGTTTATGTGACTCGAACCCTTGTCTTTCAGATCACAAAGGAGCAATCTTACCATTGTCACAAGACTTACAACTACTCACATTGGAAATAATATGTCTAAGGTAGAAACAATGTGTAAGGTACCTTATGTTTCAACCTTACCAAAGGCCAAGGTAAAAATGTTGAATTCTCAAAAACAACTATGATAAAAATGTTGAATCTCAGATTTTGATGATGAAACTAATTGATTGTGTTTAGATGTTTAACTGCATTTCGAGTGATGCAGGTCTACTCGATCAGGATTAGACAGTTGACGCAGGAGGAATTGACGTTGCGCCGGAGGAGATCACGTCAGGATATTGGACGGCAGAAGGCTTCGGACGTTGGGCATCGGGCCAAGGAGAGCGGAATTGCGCCAAGGATATCGGGGTTGCGGAGGTCAACCGCCGATTGGGCAACAAGCCACAAGAGAGGACGATGCGTTAAAGAATCGGATGAAGCGCCAACCAATGACGTGCCGGGCAACAGAATGTCAATTCGCGTTGTAATAATTGTCTAGATCGGAGTAGAGTTTTGGCTTGTGTGTGCAGGATTAACTACGATAAAGACGAAGACATAAAGCGAAACAAAGTGTCAAAGTCAAGCGTGAAGGATTTGTTGCAAGTTCGAGAGTTCGACGGAAGTCCGAAGGTTCGTCGGGAATGCTGCCGGAACTAGCCGAGAATGAGTAGGGAGCTTGCCGAAGGGTTTTTCGGAAGCTCGCCGGAAGGTTCGTTGGAAGTTCGCGGAGCTGGCCGAGAAAGGTCGAAGCTTGCCGAAGAAGCTCGTTGGAACTCGCCAAGATCAAATCGTGAAGTCTAGGAGCTTGCCGGGAGTCCACAAAATGTTTTCCGAGAGTTTATCGGAAGACCGCCGGAAGTTCGCTGGAAGCTCGCCGGAAGAAGTCTTGACTTACGGACTTTGTAATAGCTTAGGAAATGTCTTTAAATTCGTAGTTAACACATTAATTAGGGTTAGGATTAGGTGTTAATCCTGTAACCCAAGTAGGGGCCAATTGGGCCCGAGTTCGGACTGGTTTGGGCCAAGTTTGGAGCCCAACCAGTGAGCTGAAATAGTGTAGGCGGTGGCACCGCCAGATTGAGCGGTGGCACCGCCACCGACAGGCGGTGGCATCGCCAGCCTCGAAAACCCAAGAGAATTCAAAATTTGGAGCCCAAATTTGAATCCTCTTGGGGCCTATAAATACCCCTCTATTCTCCGCTGAGATAACAACCTTTGAGAAGCAAGTGATTGAGATAAAAATCTTAGCAAAGTCTTTAGCAAGTTTTTGTTTTCAATAGCTTGAGTGTTCACCTCCCTCTTTCTCTTTGAAAATTTGTAAGAGTGTAAACCACTTGTAAAAAGTTGTAAGAGGGGTATTTGTCCTTTCCCTTCAAAGTGATTTGCTAGTGGAAGTTGGGAGCCTCATTGAAGAAGGCTTCGCAAGTGGATGTAGGTCATTTTGACTGAACCACTTTAAATTGGTGCGTTCCTTGAATATGTGAGTATTTACCTTCCTGAAATTGTCATTTACAATACTGCTAGCTTTCGGATCTCATTTTCTCATTTTACTCAAGTTACTATCAAAACGAAATTTCTACGTATTTACGAAATCGTTTTCAAACTTATGAGTTTTAATCCGCTGCACTAATTCATCCCTCCCCTCTTAGTGTCGTTCCGATCCTAACAAGAAACAATATGTCTAAGGTATCGGAGTTTAATATTACCACAGCAATTGCAAGCTAAAAATGCAAGATGTAATTTGATTCATGAACACAAATGCAAAAACAACAATACCTTCACCGGAAACAGAAAAAGCTAAAAGGGAAGAAAAAGGCCATCTAAAAATGTTCATAAACTTCAACAATTTCTATTACATACCTTCTTTACACGAGTAAGAATTTCAGGGCTTGATGCTACAAGAATACATCCCCTTGCCTGGATTGTTTTCACTAAAGTTAAGAAAGTGCATATAATAAACACAAGAAAAACAATTTATAAATACACACTAACAGAAGGAAGGCAGCACCAAATTTATCAGCATATAAATACTTCACAACAAGATTTCAAATATCGATTAGTACTGTCCATACCCACAGATATTTGCTGGCACCGGACAGTATTAATTTTTATTTTTATTTTCTGAACTGTCCAAATCAGTATACTATATGAGACACTGGTACCATGTGCACCAACCAGTATTTGCAGCACAGGTCAGTCTAATGTCTGATATACTGATACTATACCAGTTCGGTATATTACCATAACCAGTTCTGATCGAGATTCCAAACCTGCTTTAAAGTAAATTGAAATGCAAAACGGTTGATGAAAGCTTAACATACTTGTAAATATGCCATATATGGGCTTGGATTCACAATTCTTAGTGCTCGGTAAACTTCAAATGGATCTGCAAATGTACGCCGCTCAAAACGTTGGCTCAAGACGATCTGAAAAATATCACCTGCAAAGATACGTTCTTTTGCCTGCAAAACTGCCTTCTTGTATTCTTCACTTGTCATTGATGACTTTGTTAAAGTAGTACCAAACTGCTGAGTATGCATTTTTACGGATCCAGCAGAAAGCCTGGGCCTAAAATATGAAACTACAAAAGATTAATATGCAGAAAGCTGACAAGAAAAAAGAAGATAATTTCTCAACTAAAAGAACTGACATAATTACTCACACATTGACATTCTGCACCTTAGACAGCAAATTATCCAAATGGTTCTTCCCATCTTGATAGGCTTTCTCAACAGAGGAGTACCGATCCACTTGCACCCAATGAATCACATATGCTTTCTGTGATGTAATTGAAGTATTGGCATTTGAATCATGAAATAAAATCCTTTACAAAAATTTGGAAACATCCCAAGAATAAAGTATCACTAAAAGTGAGTTATTTGGTTATGGTCACCAAAACAAAGTAACATCTATAAAATACATAATTTGACATATTTGTGAAATGTGTGTGGACACCAGCTAGTACAAAGAATAATTAAATTCAAGACACAAAACCATATGACAGGGCTACAAAACAGATGCCACTGACAATTCATACATAATATGGTCGTTAAATTGTATCATATCTCGATCAGATATCAAAACAATATATGACATGAGCTCTTCTTACATTATTTAATACCACATATAATTCCTGTATTCGTATTTGAAACATTGTTGAAAACAATAACAAATTTTATGTTCCCTTCTGTAATGAGTTATCGCAAGGTAGAATGGTAGATGATAGACACTTATGCATTAACAGATATGACTAAACCAATTAAACCACAATGATAGTTTCTCTAAAGTTAGAGATTTGAACTAGTATTTCTAATTTCACATAGATAGTATCCAACTATCCATCTCTAGTGTCATTGCTAATTCAAGCACCAAACAAGGTAACATCTCTCTAAAGTTATAGATCTTTCCCTATCTTTCCACCGCACAAGTCATAAAATTTTTCTAGCTAGATGTGGAATGCATTTCAGTCATTAATTAAGCAATTGCATAGGTTAGCCTTGTACATCAAGATAAATCCATTTAGTGGACAGAATATGTATTGCATTATAATAAGCATGGGCAGAGAGATCTTCAGTAAGATAATAGTCAAAATTAACTCTTTGGTTCAAGATCAGGTGACTGACACAACCATATTCACCAATATGGAAGTTATTGAAACAAAGAAAGAAAGTTATGCGGGACCATTTTAATTATTTCCTATTTATTTAATTTTTTATTAGATTCAGGTGTCTTTTGCAAATTTTATAAGTTGCCACATAACATTTGTTACAATCCGATACTTGTCACCATGATTATCCAAGAAGAAGTAAAAAGTAGCCAAACAAAAGGAATGAGACAATAACAGTTTTGATTGAAGTTCTTAAAGAAAAAGGAAGGAAGATTTCATCTCTAGAAGGAAGTTTCTTCTTGATTAAAGATCATACAAAGATGAAAATATATCAAGATATATGGGAAATTATTTTCCAAATCAGATCTAAAAATTTATTTTCTTTAGAGAAGGAAAATTGTAATGAATGATAAGAGCATAATGAGATACAAAGGATCAATAAATAATTAGTCCATCAAAGGAACAATTTATCACCCTGAAGAAAGAACAAATACCTCGTGTGGAAGTTCAAATTTGTAATAAACAGACCAAGGAGGAAGATAAACAAAAAGGAATTCCTTATATTCCACAATGGAACAATATACAAGAAGGAAAAAAGACATAAAGATCAAGAAGAAACTTTTTCCCTTATTTTCACATTAGAACTGCAAAGTGCAATAGCAAAAGAGATGAAACACTAATAACATTCTCACGTTCCTACATCTTCTCAAGGCAACTGACAGTACCAAACCTCTTAGCCTATCTTCTTTCCTTGTTTTTTATCAATTTTACCTTTTTCTTTTTTTTTAAGGAGAAAGATGAGCTGTCATTGTGAAATAAAGAAGTTAGCCAATTGAACTTCATCAACAAATCATGCGAACATAATAGAGTATGTGTAGTGAATCAAGACATCATTCCAAGTGAAGCTCATTGGAAGTTATTAGGGTAAAAAATATCATACCTTTTCCACGTGGTCAAACACTATGACATCATTGTAGAGTCCTAAGTGGACATCTGGTAAGTTCCTGTCATCCTTAGGAGCACTAGAGAATGGAAGCTTTTTCTTCTCAACATATCGCACTGTATCATAGGAAAAATACCCAACCCATCCACCTGAACAGGAAAAAAAAAAAATCATGGAGCACTCGTGTAACAACATTTAAAATTTAATGCTTTTCATTGCATTCATATGCATGGCCTGTGATATCCATACTAAAACAATTAAATGAAAAAACAAAGATTGTACTAGAGCTTCCTATTGCCAAAAGGAAACAATATGTTAAACCAAGAAGTATATCATTCTACCAAATTTGATCTCTAATTTGGAGCTAGAATTTGCATTCAAGAGGAGAGGATTCTATTAGGTACAAGTCAAAACATAGAAAGGCAGCCTAGTGTATACAACTCTGAACTCCCACCAATGTGTGGTCTAGCAAGGGCCAAAGTTCATAGCCTAGTGTATACCCATTCAACAATGATTGAAATCTAGATCACTTGTGTTGTAAAGGAGCAAACTCACGATAACACCATGGCCTATCCTTTTATTCTAGATAAAATATACTTCTAAAAATTTACTATATACAAAATGTTGTATTTTACAGCAAATCAGTTGTACACACAAGATCATGCATACTAATGCTTACAAAGCATGAACATACAAGCAAGGATTGCCATACCGATCCGTACTGTCCGGTACGAGTGGTATGTACCGGTCCGATGGTATATCGGTACGCGGACCGCCCGTTACCGGGCGGAACGAATAATAATAATAATAATAATAA